GAAAATTTGTGGCTGCTACACTTAATCAAATCCGTGGAGACAACTTGGAGTTTAATTTGATTTATATTGATTTAAAAAAAATAGAACAATTAGTGACGGATTTAGAGACCAAATTTTTCCTTACTAATTGAATTTTCATTGAAAAATTGGTCTCTAATTCTTCACTAATTCTTGGTGGTTGTTTTTGTAAAATTCTTGAAGCCGCTTGTTTAATTTCTGTTCAGCTTTTAATTACTTTGTAATTGGCCATTTTTAGGAGTGTCTTGGGTGTGTCTTTGGTACACAACCATCTCTTCTTAGTTACTTAATTTCGTTAGACTTGGTGGGAGTGGTCCTTGATTGGTCTTTGGTACCTCTCAAGCTCTCACCTTAGGAAAACATTTAGATAATTTTTTTAAATTCTTGCAATCATTTGTTTAGTTGTTAACTCGTCTAGTTATTCACATATCACAATTCATTCAAAATATTTTCATTGAAAATATTTTTGGTGGAAATTAATTACAAGGGGGATTAGTAATTTTTACTTGAAGAGGCTTGGTTATTAAGTGGCTCTTAGTACGTCACCTCCCTCCAAAGTTCAATTTGTATACTTATTCCTCCAAGTACTTAGTCTTAACCTTTAAAAAAAATTGCTTTCAAAACATCTTTCATCAAAAGAAATCTTTCTCCTATAATGGAAGAATTTTCTACTCCACATAGTGATAGTAATTCAAGTGATTACAATGATATTTCCAAAGTATCACATGAATTAAGATCACTAAAAATTTGGAAAGAGCAAGAGTCCAAACAAAGACTTAAAGAAAAACTTGAAAGGGAGGCTCAACTTGCTTTTTTGGAGGAGGAAATTTGTTTATTGAAGGAAAAAGAGGAAAAATTGCATCATAAACACCGAAGTAAACATAGCTCCCAAGCCCATAGTTCAACCATAGGAGAATCTATGCATGATGATAGCCTAGCCTTAGGTGATCATTACCAACAACCTCCTAGAAGAGTTCATAGGACCCCAAAAACTAGGGAATCTAGAGTAGATCTCCCTTATTTTCATGGCAAAAATGATGTTGAGGGGAACCTTGATTGGGAAATGAAGGTTGAACAAATCTTCACTTGCCACCAAGTGAGTGAAGAAAGAAAAGTGTCTCTAGCCACCTTAAGCTTTCAAGGCCATGCCATGTATTGGTGGACATCCCTTGTTAGGGATAGGCGTCTCCATAATGATCCTCCAATTCAATATTGGAATGAATTAAGGAGTACCTTGAGAAGGAGGCACATTCCCTCATACTACACTAGAGTGCTTATCAACAAGCTCCAAAGACTCCATCAAAGAAACTTGATTGTGGAAGAATATAGACAAACCATGGAGTTGTATTTAATGAGGGCTGGCATTAGGGAGCAGGAAGATATTACCATTGCTAGATTTTTGAGTGGTTTGACTTTTGAAATAAGAGATAAGGTTGAGCTTCTACCTTATAGAGATTTGAATGACTTGGTTCAACTTTGTATCAAGGTTGAACAACAAAATTTGAGAAAGAATTTCAAAACAAGCTCATACTCATCTTCTTATTCAATTACAAAAACAACCACCAAGAATTAGTGAAGAATTAGAGACCAATTTTTCAATGAAAATTCAATTAGTAAGGAAAAATTTGGTCTCTAAATCCGTCACTAATTGTTCTATTTTTTTTAAATCAATATAAATCTTTTCGAAGGATCGGGACGAGAGAGACTGTTACCGAACGAAGCAGGAACACTTGGTCTTGGATTAACGAACCATATCGGGATCGGGTTTGAACACCCTCCTTCTCTTGGCCCAATGTGTATGGACCGGTTTGAGTAATTTTAACTTTTCAAAACACCAAGAATTTTTTTTTAAATTATATTTTTATTTTTTAATAAAATAAATATCAATTATTGATTAAAATATATACAAACAAATATTTTTTATATTCTTCTTTTTTTAAATTCATTTCTACAAATAATGTTTTGGGCTCACACAAAGCAGTATATATATAAACTTTTCAATGTTTTAATTATTGATTTATTAATTGATACATTTTTATTTAATTTATTAATTAATTATTTTTTAAAGATTGGTTATTTAATTCTAATTTTTAATTATATATTCTGTATTGATATTGATTTTCTATGAAATTAATTAGTCTTATATATAATTATTTATTTGTTTTACATGGATTTTTATTTATATTAATTAACTGTAGGTATAAATTTTGTAAATATTTTACCTACTTAAAGTAGTAGTATGTATAAGTCTTTGAAGGCTTTTACCTACATTGACAATTTGTTGGTAGAAGAATTTTAAGTTATATTGAGTTTTGCTTACACCAAATAAAAGTGAGTATAGATTTTTGAGTTATACCTACATTAAACATTTGTAGGTAAATTTTTTTTTATAGTTTTACCTACACTAATTCAGGTCTATAGGTAAAAGCGTCTGTAGGCATAGGTTATTTTTTTTGTAGTGGAAACTCAAGACAAGTCTTTTTAAGAGTTAGTAACAAACCTTCTTAAGAAAAATTGAAAAATATATTTTGAGTTTAGGTAGAATAAAATAGGTTCAAGAGGACCTTATGAAAATAAAAATCCTTAAGGATAGATCAATCCGATACATAAATTAAGAAGATAAATAGGTTAGGTCTCTTTATTTATCAAGAAAGCAACACTTGTAATACTTACAATTTACTTTATTTTGCGAGTGTTAAAGTAGGAGAGAAGACTTATGTTTTGAGGGCAAGTCCTCTCGAAGATAACGGGGATAATGACATCATACTAAGAAGTTAAATCCTAAAAGAATTAAGAATAGTGAGTTAAACTTAAACTTGAAAGAAAAAAATAAAAAAAGGAAGTGTCACATCAAAATATAAATAAAATAAAAGTTCAACATAATATGAGAGAGAATTAACTTAATTTAGGCTTCCAACGTCATTGTCTCTACACATTTTCAAACCAGTGCAATTGCATTAAAATAGTCACAAGCAAATAAAAATTGAAAAGTCACGCATATGAGAGAGAGAATGGATAATAATACTCCAGTATGGATGGACAATTTGTGGAAAATTATTTTCCCATCATATCCAACTTTATGTAATAAAGGGTTCTCATAATTAATCGAACATTTTTATCACACTTAACATGACACACAACATTTCATACTTATTAGATGAATTAGATAGAGTGGATAATAATTGGAGCCCCATGTTGTGGCTTAAGAGTAAGACTATTTCGAGGAGCATGGGCATAAGAGGGTGAAAGTTGAAATGAGAAATGTTGAAGAATCATAGCGAGAGCTATCTTTGCTTCTATGAGGGAAAAGTTTTGGCCAAGGCAGATTCTTGGACCCCAACTAAATGGATAGAAAGCAACTTGATCATGTGAAGCTTTGGAAACACCTTGAGAAAACCTCTCAGGATTGAACTCTTGTGGGTTGTCCCAATACCTTGGATCGTGATGAAGAAGCATAAATGGTAGTTCAAGTTGAACTCCAGCAGG